AAAAGATAAACTTACAGCTGACAAATCATTTTGTTTCATGTTAGATAAACAGGAAGAATAAAAATTATATCAAAGTTTAAAGTTTAAACCAGACTTACTTTAGGAGTCACCAGGCACTCCTCAATTTACAACAGTTCGTTTAGTGACCATTTGAAGTTACAATGGCATTGAAAAAAGTGACTTATGACTATTTTTCACACTTACGACTGTTGCAGCTTCCCATGGTTATGTAATGAAAATATTCATGATGGTTGCAATTCCAAGATCATGTGATCACCCAGGGTCAAATGTGATCACCTTCTAACAAGCGAAGTCAATGGGGAATCCAGATTCACTTAACAACCATATTATTATTTTAACAACTGTAGCGATTCATTTAACAACTGTGGTATAAGAAAGTTCATAAAATGGGGCAAAACTCAATTGAGAAATGTCTCACTTATCAACAGAAATTTTGGGCTCAAATGTGGTCTTAAGTCAAGGATCACCTGTGTAGGACTGTGGGATTCTTGGTCCCTCCAAGAGCAAAATATGAAGGAATCTTGGTTACACAAGTACTCCATGTACTGTCCCTGAACATAGCAAGTCCTAAGAGAAATGCCTTCCCCTAAATTGCTATTGTGGCTAATGAGAGATCAAAGCAGGATCCTCTTCCTATGATGTTTGGAGCAAGGTAGGGTGATAATCAATGGATTGATCAATGGATGCCCAACGTCAAATAAGTAAGGAACCAGAAAGAGGAGGCTCTCACCTGGTGTAGAATGAAAGAAAGGAAAGTCGGACGGAGAACCAAGAAGATGGGTTTTGGTGAAGAGAAAGCAGTGCTGGCAGTCAGGGGTGGGATTCTACCAGTTCGGACCAGTTCTATAGAACTGATTGTTATGATTCTCCGCAGTTCGGAGAACCTGCAAATTACACCACCGGCTGTCCCTCCCCTCCCCACCCACCCCACCCAGGAGGCTTTCCTGAGGCCCAGTCAGGGGTGGTATTCAGGGGGTTGGGGGAGGGAGAAGTGGCCTGAGAGCAGAGCTGAACCTTCTTTAGGATTGAAGCTTCTATTTTTCAATGCAGACTCAGGCAGCAGATTGCAGAAAGGTAGATCTCTGAGTGAATCTGTGATTCTGCAAGCAGCTCAATCTACCTGCCTGCTTTGCCTGATTTTGGGTAAAAGTTGCTCTTTTTTTTAAATAAAAAAATTCAATCTTTACATATATATTTACAATATTTACATACAAGCCACGCCCAGCCAGTCACATGACCACCAAGCTACACCCACAAATTAGGCCATGCCCACAGAACTGGTTGTTAAGAAATTTGAATCCCACCCCTACTGGCAGTGCTGGCATTTTTATCACTAGGAAACCAAACGTCCTTGCAGCAGACCTCATGCAGGTTCCCAGTAGCAGCAGGAGCTGGGAAGGCACACCAAAACTCAGACCTTAGAACTGAAGATGCTAGAGCACTTCCTGTCATTCCCTAGAGATGAAGAATGGGGCGGGGACCAAAAAGCAGAAGATATACTCATAAAACAGATAGAGGACAAGAAGCAGGAAGAGTACCTGATGAGAGCTTTTGGACTTGACAGAGAAGGCATGAAAAAATTCCTACTCTCTTCCAAAGCGCTAAACAAGATTCAACCCAAGGAGATTTAGCTATCTTGGTAGCAAGAATATAATTCTGATTTTTCTATGGCAAGGTCTATAAAGTATTATGGAACAAATAGGCTTTCAAATTAAAATGGACCTCTTCCTAAGTACAGCCTTGGGGAAATGAAAACAATTTTACTCTGACATTTCAGAGCTTAACATCCTTTCTGCTGCTGGTGTTCTGCATTGTTTTATTTAATTATATTTTTGTAAACACCGAAGAGACATTAAGAATAGACAGTGCATTTATTCGCGGAAACAAACAGACAATCAATCAATCAATCAATTAATTAAATAGCAATTTGTAGTAATTCAGTACTATTCTTAAAAATACTCCTGGCTTTTAAAATGTTGAGAAAACAGTTGTTCAAATGGAAGCTGGTATTGAAACAATCTTAATTGAAAGTACCAAGCTAGTGTCGGTTGGGAGGGCATTTCATGGGTGAAATCTCATTACCTTAATTGGGTGAAGAGTTTCAGAATATTTAGGATTCAAATAAGTAAATACAAGTAATCCTTGTCAGGGACCAAAATTGGGACAGGTAACTCCATCGCTGTGCCAAGATTGCTATGTGAAATATCATGTGATCACAATAAACTTACAGCTTCATTTCCCCTTTGGTTGTTAAGCAAATCCTCACAGTTGCTTAGCAAAACATTATATGACTGTGAGGTATGTGTTGTGGTTAGCTGGCAGCAGGTGCGGATGGCTGAGGAGAGCGAGGACTCAGATGAGGGGCCAGGACCATTAGGGAGTGGACTGCTGCCTTCAGAGATTGTGGGGGATGGCAGCAGTGGTGAGGAGGTTTCCGAGGAGCCTGTGCCAAGTGCGCGTGCGTGCAGGATTGCTCACAGGAAAGAGCAGCTACAACAGCATGGGCGACTCGGGAGTAAGGCTGCAAGGTAATGGCCCCTCCTTCAAGAAGATAAAAGCCAGCTGTGAAACGAACGTTCTTTGCAGAAGGCAAAGACGTTTTGAAACTCCAGCCTCATGGACATTCCACTATACTGTGTTTGTATTTGAAGATTCTCGTATTGCAAATCATTTCTTGTCTGTTACCTTTTGGCAGTCTCGCACAGTAAGGCTTGTGCTTATTACAGGTAATTGTTTTGCAGAAGCATTAAAAGGTTTCTGTTCCCTTTGGATTGTGTTTGATTTGTTGGAAAAGGGCATGGGTCAGAACAGTATGATTTCAGTTCTACCTTCTCTATTAACTTTGTCACAAGCCAAGTTGGGAAGTGCACAAAGGCTGCTCGTGTAATCATGGGACAGTGTGATGGTCGAAAGTACAAATGCAACAATTGGTCACCATTCTCTCATAACGTCTCTTCAATTTTTTTTAGAATGTCCTAACTTCAAACAGAAGTTAAATGATCACTTCCTGTTATGGGAGCAATCTGTGCTTTAGGGAATCAGTCCCAGTTTTTGTGAAGTTTACAAAATGTTCTCAGCGCTTTTAATTAGTATTCCTCCCAAATGTGATCTTTATCCACCTTACTGAAGAGGGGCAGGCAATTAATTTTACCAAGGGGCCACATGTGAAACTGGGACTTTTGGGGAGGGCCGAACCAATAGGAAAATTGGCCAGATAGAGACAGCCAAAGGTCTGGATGTGGCCTGTGGGCTGTCATTTGCCCTGGTCTGTTTTTGGGAAAGCCAAATGTTTTTTTCCTAGCTCCACTAGTTGTTGCAATTGTATTCACACGTGGTTAACTAACAAAGAAGAGGTGGATGTAATCCTATGCTTAAGTCTCTTGTTCCAGAAGCTGTGAATGCTCCAACACTGGAAGTTTTAAAAAAGATGTTGGATAACCATTTGTCTGAAGTGGTGTAGGGTTTCCTGTCTAAGTAGGGAGTTGGACTAGAAGACCTCCAAGGTCCCTTCCAACTCTGCTATTCTATTCTGTTCTGTTCTGTTCTGTCCTGTCCTGTCCTGTCCTGTCCTGTCCTATCCTATCCTATCCTATTCCTTTCTTAACCACTGGACTATTATTATAAATATAGGATCCTTTCATGGAGGGATGGACATGTATTGATTCAGAAAGTCCCTTTCTCACAAATCAACTCCATTTCTATCTCCTCAAAAGCCATTCCTTATGAGGATTTATGGAGTATTATGGAGTAAGAAAAATTTCCCTACAGTCTCAAAATCTGCATGCTGTCACGTTCCTAGGTAAATTTCCAACATTGTGGATTGGCTCTAGAATTGCACGTAATCTCTAAGCTGGGAGCTTCCTTATATTCCATTCACTCTACAGATTTTAAATTTAAACAGTTTGTGACTAAGTTACACGACTGCAAAATATTGGGCCAGGCAACACCAGAAACTACCTCTGCTGCAAATATAGTCCTTATTTGGAAAATACTAAATTGTGTGTTAAGGGTCCCAAAGGGTCCCAAAACCATAATGAAACATTTGTTCTACTGGCCTTGAAAAACAACGTGCAGAAAATAAATGGATTTTTACAGCCAGTAGTCAATCCAAAATCGTGCCAAGGAAAAGATGCTTTCCGGGGCAGTCATCCTGAGGAATCTCAAATCACAATCAACACTGTTTGGGTCACTCTATATTTTTGGCTGTGTAGAAGGGAACCCTCAAATCTGCTGAGATTGAGGCCTCCATTTGACAGATGAAACCGAAATCAATGTAAGTTAAAAACTAACTTGATGTTTGTGTAACACTTGGCACTTTGCCCAGCTCAGTGAGCATCATGCTATGCACGTATTACATCTGTTTACCTCCTGCGTGTCTGCGGTATTTTGTCTCATCATTATTGGCTTATTATTTACTTTTTTTATATATGGGTCAAGGCAGTAAGCATACTAATGCTCCTCCTTCTCCTATTTTCCTCATGACAACAACCCTGTGAGGTAGGTTGGGTTGGGGGGGTGTCAGGCCCAAAATGACTCAGCTGGCCTTCCTGCCTAGGGCAGGCCTAGAATTCACTGACTCCTGGTTTCTAAGCCAGCACCACACCAGGCTGGCTCTGTTGTATAAGAGACCCACATATGAAAACAAGGCAACAGAGCTTGGAAAACAACCTGTGGCCTCAAGTAGCATTTTCCTCCCTAACAAGGAAGGCTGCCAAAATTCAAATGTGGAACTCTGGTCAAAGAATAACATGGGGTTAAGAAGCCCTGGCCTTCATGTCCTCCAAGGACGTTAATGGGACCCAGGGAAAGCTTTGGGGCAGGAGTACCACGCCTTCAAAAACAGCCAATCTTAGATGGTCGGCTGAGGGCAATTTTGATGCAACTTGGCAAAGCAGTCGAGGAGGAGGTGAGCTTAGTTCATCCCCCTGAGCCTTGAGCTGCAAACGCAGACTTTGATTCGAGGCAGTCCTCCTCATTGTTTCATCAAAGCAGCCATACCGAGATACAAAGCCTGGTACAAAACACACACACACACACACACACACACACACATCCATCCATCCTGTATGTGATTCCTGCGGTTTGCAAAGGCTCTATGTTTGCTGAGAGGCTGTGAAAGATGGACGGCACAAGGGTCTTTTTAGCCAATTCCAACCAGCACATTAACATCGGAAAAGAAAAGCACAGCAGGTAAGCCTTTGACACCTGACCCTAAACAGCTGTGTCTAAGAAGCACCTGCCATGGACATCAGCATTTCCTTCATTTAAAAACTTTTTAAAAGCTTTCCCCCCCACCATAACTTAATCTAAAGGGAAATATTTAAAAAAAAACACACCAAATGTGTGTAAAACCAGATCTGAAAGCTTTATTTAGATGGGCAAAATGTCTGTCTCATTCTAAAGGAATTGTAACCCTTGTGTAGGTAGTCCACGACTTACAACGGTTCCTTTAGTGACTGTTCAAAGTAAGAAATGGCACCGAAAAAAGTAACTTATGACCATTTTTTCACACTTATGACTGCTGCGGCATCCTGATCATATGTTCAAAATTCAGATGCTTGGCAACTGGTTCATATTTATGACGGTTGCAACGCCTTAGGGTCATGAGATCAGCTTTTGCGACCATCTGATAAGCAAAATTAATGGGGAAGCCAGTTAAAAACCACGTTATTAACTTAACAACTGCAGTGGTTCACTTAACAACAGTGGCAAGAAAGGTCATAAAATGGGGGCAAAACTCATTTAACACATGTCTCACTTAACAACAGAAATTTTGGGCTCAATTGTGGTGGTAAATCAAGGACTACTTGTATATAAAGTAGTGTGAGATGCAGAATTTGTGTTGCTACCAGATTTTTTTTCTCAAAAGCTATTTCTCTTTAATAGTTATGTAGTAGGTGCACAGAAAGTCATTTCATTTGTTCATTCCTATATATTGAAACTTTCCAGGATTTGCACATATCTTTATAATTAGCAGAGATTTAACTTTTTTAAAAGAAAGCAAAACTGAAAGGTTCCTTCCTTACTATCACCAGCATTATGTTTTTGTGATTTACTTTGATCTCTCTGTAGTTCTAATCCAGCTTAAGCACTTAAATTTTACTGCATGTAAGTGGTCTTAATTGCTACAGATTTTTTCAAAAGACCTAATGTATTAATTTTCTTTTAATAACTAAACAAGGGCCTACATTCTTATGAAGTTAAGTTCATTTGCAATTATAATTGGAAGGAGGATGCAATCAGAAACTTGAGTCTTCTGAATATAATTTTAATTTAAGAATAGAGCAAAATTTAACCTTTAATCAAGAGGACAAGGGAAAATATTACAATAATTATATGAAAAGTGTCTAAAAAAGAGATTTCTAACAACAAAAATATATCATTGTATATCTGTATTATCATTTTAACAAGGGATACAATAGTTGAATTGTAATTCAACTATTACAACTATTACAATAAAAGAGCAGAATGATCTATTGACTGATTTAATAGCACAGATTGAAACAATTGAATCTAAATGACATTTTAATTTGAACTGCTCCTGGGAAAGGGTTATAGTGCTGAAAAGAGTAAGTCAAACAATTAATAACATTAGATTACCCAATGGCTTGTAGAACATTGATGTCCAACGGGTATGCTTCAAAAACTATTTGTACAAAATTCACATTGGTTTGGAGATTTATTAAGCCATGTTTTGCAAGCAACTTGCTCAAAGGATTGACTCCAAATAGTAATTTGATATTTATATTAATACAGTGATACATTTAAATGTACAACACAATGATTCCCTGTACATTTTATATTCTCCACATTTTGTGTTCCCCTAAATATTTACAGCCTCACCAGAAGTGATCTGATCTCAAAAAATGTTAAGAATTGGGCTTAATATTTGGGTAGGAGATCACAATGAAATCTCACATCTGTAGGCTAGACTGGGAAGTTTAAAAAACATCCCAGATGTAGCAATAGCAAACTTCTCCCAAATTGTTATCAAGAAAACTACATGACTATGTCCACATAGTCACTAGGGGCAGAACTCAACTCAAGGAGTCTTTACCAGTATGGTTAGAAGAACTGCTAGTAGAATTTCAAATATAGCTGTCCCAGAAGTTTTAAATCTCTTTCTAATGTTTCCTAGTATATAATTAACCTTTTGTCACAGCTATCACATACTGCATTAACATTTTCATTGAACTCTCTATCATAATTAAAATTCCTCTTCTGATCACAAGCCCAACTCCTGTTATTGTGCATGGAAATTCGTGACTTATGACAATCAATATTTACTTACACTGAATCCAATTTACTATTTCATTATCATTTTTAAAAAATTTGGAGAGACGGTTGGAATCCCATTTCTTTCTTTCTTTTTTTTAATTCTTTGGAATTATTATATAAATTCCCAAAGAGATCCTTGGGATCCTACTTAAAATAGTTTCTTCATTGTCCAAATCTTAGGCTTATTGTCTTAATTTAATGAGTAACTAAATTGTATGAACACTTACCCCAAGTAACCTTGCTACTCTACTTCCCTATCTACCGTATTTGCCGGCGTATAAGACGACTGGGCGTATAAGACGAGCCCCCAACATTTCCACTCAAAATATAGAGTTTGTTATATACTCGCCGTATAAGACGACCCCCTCACTTGGAGGCATGTTTTTCAGGGCAAAAAAGTCATCTTATACGCCGGCAAATACGGTAATGACATCTAGGAAGCAGACAAGAAGGAAGCAAGTGTTCCCAAGCAGTTTTTCTCAACCTCAGCAACTTTAAGGTGTCTGAACTTCAATTCCCAGCATGCAGGCTGGGGAATTCTGGGAGCTGAAGTCCAGACATCTTAATCTTGCTAAGGATGAGAAGCACTAAGATAGAAAAGGCGGGGAGAAGAAGATGATTCAGCCTGTGTGCTTTATGCAGAATATATGATATGCTGGGCAACAAGGAAAGGAAGGAGTGATTCAGTGGAAACAACAAGGAACTTGGAGAAGCCTTCTAGGATTATGGAAAGAATGTTAAAGTTTCCTTACAATTGTAGCAACTCTATTTTCCAGTCTTCATAAGGCTTCCTAACGTTTAAGTTTTCATAACGTTTAAGAATCGCCGTTGAATTCAGAGCTTTTGCTGAAACTCACATGTAGTTCTACCTACTAAAAGGGCAATCAATGGCTGGAATATATTTGAATCCTCTGCATGTTAAGTGGGGTTTGGTATAATAGGGTTAACTATGATTTCTGTAGTAAAAGTTTCTGTGAGAGGCATTGGCAAAAGTATGGAAGTAGTGACTCTGTTACCACGCCAGTGAGTCATACAGCATGACTCACTCGACACAAAGCCACATACTGATTTCATTATTATATTCATATAATACTTGTTACAGTATGCCTATGCCACAACAACACTTGCGATAAATTGATCGAAAGTACCCGATACAACTCTGAATATACAGAGACTGCAAATGATAATAAACACAAGCCTGAAAACTACGAGTCTTGGATCGGCACTTTAATACAAACTTACTCGTACTTCGCACCCATTTAAAACATGCACCGAAGACGCCCCTCCCAATGAGCAAAGCTCCAAAGCGCCTCGGAGTTCAAGCTCTGCGGAATTCCGCTAAACGCTTTTCCTGTCAGGAACCGGTGCGAACTTGCGCGAAACCCACAGAGGCTTTAGAGACCGAACTTCGCGGTCTCGCAAGTGGGCTTCCCCGGCTCAAGCGGGTCTCTTGCCTTAGCTCGACTGGCCGGGAAAGGAGCTACTGACCTGGCATTATGCCGGCAAGGCAGGAAGCGTCTTTGTCCCACAGCTGGCCAGCCCTGCCTTCCGCGCTGCCTAGGGGGCGTCTCTCGAGCCTTCCGAGAAGCTAGGAGGCCCCCCGGCTGCGCGGCTCTGATTACAGGACGGCCTCGTCCTCGCGGCTTTCCTGCAAGCCTACCAGAAGCTGCGGAGGAGGAAGTGGGATAGGAGCCACCACCCGGCCAGCAAGTTTCTTTCCTCCCCGCTTGTCCTCCCAAGATCTGGCCTGGGGATTGGAAAAGCCGAGTTGAAACTCTCGCATTCCGCCTCGCGGCTGGCTCTGAAGCGTTGCTGTTTTGGATCTACAGAGAGAGAGAGAGAGAGAGAGAAACGGAATTCTGTTCCTTCTTTAAGCTTGTTTAAGGCTTGTTTAGGAGACAAACTATGTACCGTATTTGCCAGCGTATAAGACGAGCCCCCAACATTTCCACTCAAAATATAGAGTTTGTTATATACTCGCCGTATAAGACGACCCCCCCACTTGGAGGCATGTTTTTCAGGGCAAAAAAGTCGTCTTATACGCCGGCAAATACGGTATTACATTTCTTCAGGAAGTTTTCTGTGCTAGTTTTCTTTACACATACCTATTTTTATTTTTAAAGAAGAATGTGCTCTAGTTATAACAAGACTGATAACCTAATCTACGCTTTCTATATCTTACTAAAAAGCATTATGTGAAAACCTTGATTAACGAAAGCCATTTTGGACGAGTGAAGTCAAAAAGTATGGGCCAATCCGGCGATAGCTATATCATATGGAAGACTGCAGTTTACATAAGAGAAATAATAGTAAAGAACCTGAATTAAGGAAAAAAATAGATCTTTTCTGATGGTATGTCTATGAGAAAGAAGATGTAATAGGTATGAAAGTAAACATCTATAGATTGCTAATAGTTGTATATTATGCCCTAGTGAATAGTGATAATGAAAAAAAACAATGATGAGTTGGGGGAAAAAACTGAAAAATTCTGAATGAATTCAATTCAAGGAGAAAATTATTCTGCTAAATGACATAAATTCATGATAGCAACGAGGCAGAAAGAAAGAAAAAGTGAATTGAATATTCAGAGAAGACCCAAGAATGAATGAATGAATGAAGATGATGATGATGACAATTTGATGAGTATCTAATAGAAGAAAATATATTATAAACATGTCATTTATGCATAAACTCATTCATATCTATGCATGACAAGAATACACATAAACATGGTTGATTTAATTATGATGAAAAATTGAAGCAATTAGTGAAGGATTTGAGGTAATTTGAGGTTCTGAATATGGAACAGACCATTATTTTTTTCAAGAATGGATGCTGCAATGGGGAAAACAGCCATTGAAGAAAAGGAAACAAGTGGAACTAGAGTAAAATTAGAATGATTACAGGAAGAGAAGGTTCTATATGAAAATGTACTTAAGATAGATTATTCTCCCAAGAAAATCAATAAAAAGTGGACATTAAGGTGGAAAATAGCTGTGGAAATTGCTTGGAACGCAGCGAAAAGAATTACGTTCCAGAATATAAGAGAAATGTGAAGTATAAAAAAGCTGCTTAGTGAAATTATTTACTTAATTTAATTTATAGGCCACCCAATTCCCAAACAACTTTCAGTGGCTTACAACTAAAAAAACCAACTTATTAAAAGAAAAATAGAACAGAATAGCAAAGTACAAAATTAAAAAAAAAACAAGACTGAAAGGGGGAATTCACAATCATACTATCCGCAAGGCCTAATGAAGTAAAAGATGCAGTGAATGAGAAAAAATGCATGCAAGAGAATGATTTACAATGAATGGGAATGAGATAGGAAAGAAGACCATTTCAAGAAAATGTAGGAAAATACAGAACTGTTCACAATGAAAGAATCAGAGACAATGTGCAGTCATTTTGATAAATAAAAATGTAAAAAAAATAGTTTTGGAACTGTGCGAAGAGAGCAGAAAGAATTGAATTAAAAAATAAAACGGTCATATCCTCAAAGCCAAGCCACAAGAAACAAATTCCCTAGCGTGAGAATTCTGCACTCTGACAAAGTAACTTGCCTTGTGGGCAAGTGGCAAAATGCTAGCTCTATAAGCAAGCCCGGTGCCTCATTATAGGCAATCGCTGAGCAGCAAGAGCTTACCTGTGTATACTCAGAGGGGAGGAGATATAAACTGTGCAGGGACTACGTTTCATTGCTGGAAACAACTTTGGCATCTGACTTTGTAGTTTCCTGTTCTTGATTCCTGCTTCGTTTTGGTTTTGGCATATTATGAGCCATGATGGCACAGAGGTTAGAATGCAGTCTTGCAGACTAACTCTGCATTCCAACTGCCAGGAGTTCGATCCTGACCATCTCAAGCTTGACTCAGCCCTCCATCCTTCCGAAATCGGTAAAATATGGTCCCAGATTGTTGGGAGCAATATGTCGACTGTTTAAACTTCTCAGAGAGTGTTGTAAAGCAGGGGTCCCCAACCACCGGTCCGCGGACCGGTACCGGTCCGTGGAACAAGTCCTACCGGGCCGCTGGCTTGCTGGGCGCCGCCATCTTGTTTTGATGAAAAAGTGCTTCCGGTGAGCTCATGTCAGTACCAGGCCGCGCCATAAAAAAGGTTGGGGATACCAGGCCGCAGAGTAAAAAAGGTTGGGGATCACTGTTGTAAAGCACTGTGGGATGATTTATACATCTAAGTGCTATTGCTACTGCTATTTTTATTTATTTATTTAATTTATTTATTTGTCAGTTGCTTACAAGATAATAGGTATGACATGAGTAAGAATACAGGAAATAGGTACGAATAAATGGGGACAATAGGATAGGGATGGGAGGCACGATGGTGCACTTATGCATGCCCTAGCCAAGCCTCTGGTTCATTCCTTGTCAGCTTCCCTGACATTCTTGCAAGCCTCACTCCAAGTACCCACTTCATGGTAAGCACTTTGCTTACCAATTGCATGCATATTTTTTCTCTTTGCAGAAGCCATGAAATGGGGAAAAAAACCACATTTCAAGTAATGTGAGATGAAACAGAAATTCTAGAAAGAGTATTTTAGAGATTTGTATGGGAAGGATAATGATCTGTTAAAGGATGGAATTGAAATGAATGCTATAGATTATTAGTGTCCCAGAAAGAATGACACAGAAAATAATAAATGCTATGAGAACTTTAAAAATGGTAAGTCTGCAAGAGTAGATGGTGTAATTAAAGAAATGGTCATCACTTCAGATTTTTGTGGGGTTCCCCCAATGCAATATAGCCAAGGGAAATTATGCAGGGGTGCAGGTTAATGGTGTTTTTTTTTAAAAAAAAATCTCAATGGTGCCTCTATGAAATTACCTAATTTCAGATATAATATTGGAGCCAGTCCTAGATTTGGGTGCTGAATCTCCCAGAGATTTGCCAAGTAGAATCTTTCCCAGCTCCTAGATAATTTAATGTCATTCAGCCTGCTACTAAAACCTCTAACCAGAAGAGGTTCCCAACCAGTAAGCCCCAAGTCCCTTCTGCTACATACAGACCATATACCTCTTTTGCTTTCAGTTCAAAATAAAATGCTAGTATGCTTTAGTACATTCATTGAAACAACAGCCATGCAATTCTACATCTATAAGAATAACTTTGTACTAGAGCAAATGTTGAATTGAAGATCTTGGGACCTCAGGGTCCAGAGGCTTGTTCAGTGTCTCATCCATCCATCCTGAGCAGTATTTGTCAAAGGGTAAGCACCTTCAATAAGATAGTCTATAAATTGAATGCCTACATAATACAAATAAAGTCTTTCCTTGGCAAGGATGCTCGGTCACAGCTGACCTTGAAACAAATGTCACATCTGGTGGGTTTGTACTTTCTTGGTTCTGATCCAGATCAAGCCGGCTGCTCTTTGGTTCTCCCAGCCCTGATGTCCTAGTAAGCATGTCAGCTGGAAACAAGGATGAAGTGTGTGTGTGTGTGGGGGGGGGAACCCTCATTTATTTTTTATTTATGAAATTTATTTGACCCTCTGAACCTGACTGGGCTCTGGGCAGCTTACAAAATCAAAATAAAAGAATTAGAATACATAGTAACTAAGAATAAGATGTTAAAAAGTGATAGAATTATTCATGGGTCTCTAGGCTCATGAGTTCTGCCTTTATTTCTTATCCCTTAGTCATGTGGTTGTATTTTACTCTTTTAGCTGATATGTTTTGTCTTTGTTTCTCTTTTGTCTTATTGCTTCTGACTCTTGAACATTTTTTTTCCACTTTAAACCTTTGTTGACTTTTTCTCTTACTCAAGTAATTCTTCTGCCTTCCATTTGTCTCCTCATTAAACTAAGCATTTCTTTTTATTTTTTCTTCAGTATGGCTTCCTATGATTAAAAAAATGAATTTAATCAGAATATACTAACTCACATTTTAGTAGATCTCTGGAAGAATTATTAAAAAGGGATGGAAGTGTATATGTGTGTTGTGTGTGTGTGTGTGTGTGTGCTGGTGTTGCAAGAAATTTGAAGAATCTTTAACTCTAGGATCTCATTATGTCCAGCTCTAGCATTATTTCAAATCATTACATATATAGGAAAGAAATATTAAGGAGTTTAATGTGAGGCTGAACTATATTCCTAAAACTCCAATTTGTCATCTTCTGAATAGCTTAAAGGATAATTTAATTAATGTAGCTCTAAGATAGGCTGTTCAGCATCAGCTTGGAAACATCTAAGTTCGATCCTCACAGGGACTCAAGGTTGACTCAGTCTTCCATTCCTTCCGAGGTCAGTAAAATGAGGGCCCAGATTGTTGAGGGGTGTAATAGGCTGACTCTGTAAACCGCTTAGAGAGGGCTCTAAAGCACTGTGAAGTGGTATATAAGTCTTAGTGCCATTGGTAGTGCTATCCCAGTAAAGTGGGAGTCCATGTGTCTTAGGGGTAATTCCAGCTAATAAAATGCAGTGGTTCTTGGCTAATATAAAAAAGACCTAAATAAAATCAGACCTGATTAGTACTCGGATGGATCATCACTAGAAATCCCACAGAAGTAAACTGGATTAAGAAACTGAGGGGGGGGGATGTGTGTGGGGGGAATTCTGGAAGAAGGCAAACCACTTTTATATTCTTCCCCTAAAAATATAGGGTTGCATTCATGTAACCCCCAGGAACCTAGCTTAACAAGGAATTTTTATCTCCCCTCTCCCCAAATAGATTGATTTTCCAGAAATATCTGGCAGGATACGGAAAAGTAAAAAAAAAAAAAAAAGCAAAACTCAGTGTTCAGAGATAGGATACCCTAAATCGTAGCTGCTGATGGTCAGCACCAGAAGAGGGCTAGCATCTTCACGCTTTGTTTATAAGATCTCTGATTGAGTGGTTGTGAGAAACACAATGTGAGTATGAGGCTGCTTGTACATGGAGCAGTTGAGTGTCCTTTACTCCAGCAGCCCTGTGTCTTATGGGGCCCTTTAGAACAGACAAAGGCTTGGTTTGATCTATCAGGAGCTATTTCTGTTCTTTCTGAGCACTACAAGAGAATACAACTCACTGGTGATATTGTGAAGACTAAAGAATAAAGAAGATCACAGAACTAAACGGCAGTGCGAACATTATTAACGACTTCACACAAACCATAAGAAATGTGTCTGTTAACAGTCACACAAAGTGAAAGGCGGGAGGGGAGGGGGGGAAATGCTATTTCCTGAATATAAAATATATTGCTGCAGAACACCGAGAACTTCAACCTCCAGGGAAGAGGTTTGCAATCAGCATACCAAGTGGGCAATAGCGACACATTTACTATACTAAAAACTGATCATCTGGAAAGAGCTTGTTTGGCCACAGTTCTTTTTCTCTCGCCAACCTCAGCATTATTAATTTATAAACAGGCAATCTACAACTTCACCTGAATTCCTGGGTTCCCATATTTTATCTTGCCATTTCCCCTCTCTGCGGTCACTGACAGCTTCCTCCTTCTCTTTTTATGTTTCTTTCCTAGGAATGGATTTGTTTATGTTAAGAACCCCCATTTGGATTTAATGGAGGAAGACATCCTTTACCACTTGGCTTTAGGAACCAAAACGCACAACCTGCCAGCCATGTTTGGAGACATAAAGGTAACATCAAGATGACACAGCTGTTGCTTTTCTAAACACCTTCCATTCTGTTCTTGCTGCTCTTCTTTTCTCTTTTTCTTTTCTTTTCTTTTTGTTACCAAAACCACAGACAAGCTTCAGAGATGAGTTAAAGGTCCTAAGGGAATAGCGGCAAAGTGACTCAAAAAGTATGCTGCAGCTACAGTTATGGGCAATTACCCTTCCGCTTCTCAGTTGAAGGAAGGAGAATTGAGAAAACAAAGCCAGTTTGATGGGCTAAATTCTTCCTTGGGGTAGTTTCTCTGGCTTCAGTTCCAAAACAATACATGGTGGAAATTGAGTCATCGGTGGTATCATTTCCCATTTCTCTTGCTAAGGAGAAGAGCCTGTTGATGCCACTTCCAAAGCTGCTTAGGGATATTTTCAGATAAACAAACACCAACTGTATTGTGAAGTGTGTTTAGTCTCATGGAAAACTTTTAGCAAGAGACTCCGTGGCTCCAAATTTGACACTGGTTCACATTAGAAGAGGAACAGAATTCCCAGACGAGAGAAATAATAAGAGTTTAGGAAGTGATATTCTGACATATAGAAGGATGCATTCTTATTAATCATGATAGTTCGCTTCTTTAGCTAACCCTTTTAACTAGAGATGTTAAGAACTGAACCTACATTCCTCACAGGCTCTGTGTCTCTGCTGGGATTAGCAGATCTGAAGCGAAAACATCTACATGCAGCAAAGAGATACACAAAAATCTATTTTTGCTGCCATCTTGTGGTCATCCGGATTTTTGAGGCTCAAATCTGATAGCCCTGTTTTTTGTTTGTTTGTTTAAACTTTTGAAGTTTAATCACAATTCTCTGGACTGCAATTTTGAGCACCTTGGGTGTAAATGATTAATTTTGTATTTGTACTCCCCCCATACACATAAAATAATGGATGTCTATTGTTTTTAAAACCCATCTGAACAACTGCCCTAACACAAATGATGCAAATCAATGTCAATGGCATACAAACTATGTTAGTTACATAAATGTAATACTAACAAGCATTTTTGTTAACTGATGTGTTTTCCCTAAATAGTCCTTTAAATTGAGGATTCATTATACATATATGACTGTTATCCAAAAGTCTTCAACAACTGAATCCCAGTTGGAAACTTGCTTTGGTTCTCAGCGATGGCTAAATTAACCTGTTTGATCAGAGGAAAAACAGCATCTGTTTATTTTATTTATTTATTTATTTGTTGGAATTTGTCAAACAAAAATGAGAACAAGAATAAGAGAATAAAAGTACAACGACAGGGACAATAGGCACATTAGAGCACTTATGCATGCCCCCTCTACTGACCACTTAAATGTGAAGTAAGGTCCACGGAAGTCAATTTGTGACTGAAACTGTGAAAATTTGTAAATGAGACAACTGAATCAGAGCTTTCCAGACTTCGACAACTCTATTATAGAAATCATATTTTTTACAGTCAGGTTTAGAACGATTTACATTGAGTTTAAAGCGGTTGTTTGCGCACATATTATTGAGATTAAAACAGAAAAAGTCATTTCAGGTAAAACATTACAATGTATAATTTTGTATGCAATACCTAGGTCCTACCGCAAGTGATGCAATTCTGAGTTATCCAAACTGAGAACTTTGAGTTTAGTAGCATAAGGAATTCTACTTCTGAACCTGATCGATTGTACTGATGTCAGATATACGGTTGGGATTCCACACAGTTGAACAATACTCTAAAACCGATCTGGCATAAGTTTTATAAGCTCTAATTAGCAATACGTTTCCAGAAAAAAAGCTTCCCAAAATTAAGTTTACAACTCTTAATGCTTTTTTTTTATAGCAACACTGTTACAGTGAGCTTTGGAGCATAAATCGTCAGAGATAAGTACACTTAGGTCCTTAACAAAGTGAGGGTCATCTGCTAGATCAATACCACCTAACTTTTATTTGACATTCTGATTACATTTACCAATATGTAAGGCAGACCATTTATTAATCGAAATTTGAAGTTGCCAAATAGATGATCATTCAGACACATAGTCGAGATCTAGACTTATGGCTGAATGGAAAACCCTTACAGTATAGAGTTTTTGCATAAAACAGGAAAATGCACTTGATTTGTGGCATTGATGATTACCAAAAAATGCATAAAAGTGTGAACTTTCTTTTGTAATTATACAGTAAGAGATATTTTTTTTATTAGCACTTATATTTGCTGCAAATGAAATTGGACACTGCTTCTTTCTATTTCTTTTTATTCTTTTTCTCTAATGTTGTTTTTTTAATTTCATCTTTATTTCTTTCTACACTGCTTCTACACTTTATTAGTTTATATTAATTTTTATGTTCTCTGTAAAACTTTCAATAACTCTTATTTTAAATAAAGTGGAATTGCCTTGCTTCTGAAATCCTTATCTGTGCTGTGTAAAAAAAAAAGCCCAATGAATTCCTTTAATTTATTTCTGGAAAATATGTGGAACCCAAGCTAAGTATTTAAAAACCTCATTGATTTTAATGGAAGTATCAAGATAAATTTTAAATTGGTTCTTTTGAGGTTCATCACACATTTGGAGCACAATCAGAGATGGGTTTATTTTCTCCTGAGGAAATGCACAGGGTTTGAACCTATAGTATGTACATCAGGGACTACAAAGTTGTGCAAAAAGTGTATAGAAATGCCAGCCATTTTGATCAAATCAGTGGTAGGATTCAAAAAAAAATTTACTACCGGTTTTGTGGGCATAGATAGGTGGGCGTGGCAGGATACTGCAAAATCCCCATTCTCTCCCCACCCCACTAACCTGCTTTCCTGCTCCATTCTCCTGTACAGGGCAACAAACGAAGACCCAGCCGATCAGCTGGGACTCGGGAGGCAGATAATACCACCTCTGACTGGGAGGGGCCAGTCAGAGGTGGTATTCCAAATTACTTGAATTTTCTGCTACCGGTTCTCCGAACTACTCAAAATTTCTGAACCTGCTGAATACCATTTCTGGATCAAATGTCATTTTGGACTACAATAGCTACGTGGGGCAAGCAAACAGAGATGCGTTGATTAGCTACCCTCTCGATTCAGAAGTGATTTTTTATTTCTTTTCCTGGCATTCCACACCCATTTACAGTTGCAATTCCTGACTGCACGTACAGAATTTTGCATCCTACTTGAAATAATAGAGCAGACCACACACCAATTCAGCATCTGGTTCAACTTTGTTTCTAGCACAAATAACTACTAGCAGTTTATGTGCCGTGCTTGCTTATTTTGCTGGGTTTATTTCCAGCTGAAAATTACAGTCGCTGCAAATAAGACATTTGGACCGGGGACAAAATTCAGATATAAAATGCAGACTTTGCATATCGGATGTGAAATCCAGATGCATTTTTGATGGTTTGTGCCACTCGTCCCTTCAAAATGTGGGCAGAATTCCAGGCACAATGTAGTCCGTGTAGAAGCAGATATATAGGGGTGATCTAAAACTGTATCCCTGCACATCTTTTCTTTCTTCTCCCTCCACCCCTTTTATTGAATCAAATAATATGCCGGACATAATATTATCCCCCCCTCCTGTTTCACTTCATTGGATATTCCTTCAGGAGAGGAAACATTTCAATTTTATTTATGTCATGGGTATTAGATTACTAGACCTTCACAACTGGTGAAGCATATAGAAGGGCCCCTTTCGATAGAAATTGTGCATTTCTTATGGCAAAGTTCAGTGGGACACAGCCTGGGCAGCTACCTAATGACCCATAGTTCCCCAGACCTGTTTTGGCAGTGCTCCACAGCTCTTCAACAATTTACATCGCAGAAATTCAGTCATAAAATGTATTTATTATTTATTAATCACATTTATATGGTTACCTGTCTCACAGAAGGAACTCTAGGTGGTATACAATAATCAAAATGGTATCGATTGGCCATATGATTACTTTGCATGGCCAGTTTGGTCTAGTGGTGAAGGTACCAGGCTAGAAACCAGGAGACTGTGAGTTCTAACTGGCTGGGTGACCTTGGGCCAGGCACTCTCTTTCAGCCCAGCCCATCTCACAGGGTTATTGTTATGGGAAAAGAAGAGGTAATTTCTAAAAATAACAAAGGTGGGATAAGAAAAATACTAAATTAGTTTTAAAATCTGTACACTGAATCTCTGGTTGGAAATGTAAAAACGGCCATTTGTGGCAATACTTGAGCCAAAAACACTGTTTTAAAAAATAAAGGCGGCTTACCCTCACCCAGCCTTCTTTATTTTCTAAAACAGTGTTTTTGGCTGAAGTAAATAAAGAAGGCTTACCCTTCCCAGAGGGGCCAGAGTGAAAGAAGTGGTAAGACACTGGGTCTGTGCACCGCTGAGGCCGACAGCTCAGCAGCTCGATTCCCATGAGTGAATAAACCATGGAGGGACAAGAAAAGAGGGCCCCCCGCCCCGATTGCCTACAAGCATTCAAGCACTCCACGGGTAAAGATAACACCGCCCGAAAAAATTTCCTGTCACAGAGGCCCCTGGCTAACACGTGCCATTCACTAAATAAATAAAACCCTCATCCAAATTACTCATCCCTGATTTCAGTCTACCGATATCATGACAAGAATAAAACCAGGTTCTTACATTCTGCTCCTTAAGTCGCACAATGATTAAATTCCATAAGATTATCCTGATCAGATCCTGACGAATGGGGACCTCTTGTGTCCCCATTATGGCTCAAGCAGGTCAGGACCATCTTTTAGTTCATGCTTTCAAGTAGGATTTTTATATCCTTTGGGATATTTAAAAAAAAAATGCACAAAACCATTCTGACAGCTTAGCGGCAGTAGATGCAGCGTTGTTGTTGCTGTGGCTGATAACCCTTGTCGTCCTTTTGCAGTTTGTCTGCGTGGGAGGAAGCCCCAACAGAATGAAGGCTTTTGCTCAGTTCATGCAGAAAGAACTTGGACACGAAGGAGAGGACAATGACTTGGAAAACATTTGTGCTGGGACTGACCGTTACTCCATGTATAAGGTGGGCCCAGTGCTCTCCATCAGCGTAAGTACCTCATGCGGAATCCTGGGAACTCCTCTTAATAGTATACAGTATATCCGACCATTCCAGCATACTCTTTGTTCTTTAATGTATGTCTAAGACTTTTCAGAGGAAGAACCAGATTTAAAAAAAAGAAAGAAAGATCGATGCTGGGGCTCAAGGAACAACTTTTTAGGCCATGGTTTAACCGACCATGGCATCACTTCATTGAACCAGAAGCACCTTCAATCCTTTACATTTTCCACTCTTTCTACCTCACTTGCATGTCAGCAAGAGTGCCCAGGGCCATGTTGTATAATCTCAGTTTATCCCTTAAGGGGCTAAAGCAGAAAGCTGGAAAGCTGAATATATTGCTTTTGTTAGGAAGCCATGGAGATACAGAACCTACCCTCCCACTCCAGCAAGCTTATAAGTGGGACCGTTGGGGAGAACTAGCCTGAACTCCCACACCAGCAGACAGCCAGTCAAAGCATGGCTCAGTGTTGGAAACAAATGTGGATGAACTGCTAGTTTTTATTAAAGAACCTAAGACTAATCATGAATCCCAGTGTTGGATCTTGCCTGATGATGAGTTTGGTGCATACTGTACACATAATAGTGGCTTCTTTCACTGTGGTCTGCTTGTATTTCACTGTGCCTGGCTTCTTTTACCACCTTTCATACCACAGTGAGAATTGCCAGCCAGGTACAACACTGGCATACCTGGGGCATTTCCAGGAGAAGGTAAGACTTGCCAATGAGAAGATCCTTCCTTACACAGGTCAAGCTTGGCAACCATTTCAGGGTTGGGCTGCAGGGGTGGGATTCAAAGTTTTTAACAACCTGTTCTGTGGGCGTGGCTTAGGTGGTGGGTGTGGCTTGGTGGTCATGTGACTGGGTGGACATGTTATTGGCTGGGTGTGGCCAACTCAATATCATATCGAGGCATGCATCTCCTCACCTGGCCTCTCATGACTTTGGGGATGCTGCAACAGTCGTAAGTGTGAAAAATGGTCATAAGTCACTTTATTCAGTGCCATTGTAACTTTGAATGGTGACTCCACACAAGCAAAGTACCAGCAATGGAGGGGGAAAAAACTCCAGAGAAGTTCCAGAGACAGGAAGTCTAATCCTGCCAAGAATGTAATAAGGGTTAACGGAGAGACAGTTTCTGTAAGCAATACCAGAATGTTTCCTTCCTGTCTTCCTTACAGGATTAGGCCAGTAATTTCTTCTAACAACCAGTTCTCCAAACTGCTTAGAATGTTAACAACCGGTTCTAGCGAATAGGTGCAAACTGGTAGAATCCCACCCCTGGTGGGCTGCTGGAGGTTTGCAGGGATTTGGGAGAGCCCTTAGCTAAGATTCTGTGCAGTTCGAAGAACCCCCAAATCCCACTCCTGGCTGGCCCCGCTTACCCTGCCCCTCCCCAAAGTCCCCACGCAGCCCATTTTGGATACAGGTAAGTGCAGGGCGTGCATGGAGGCTCAGGGAAGATGAAAAACTTCCCAGAAGTTCAGGAAGGCCGGATATGGGCCCATTTCCAGCTTCCAGAGAGCCTCCAGAGCCCAGGAAGGCCATTTTCACCCTCCCCGAGGCTCGAGCAAAGCACCGGAGCCCGGGAAGGGCAAAAACATTCCCCCCTGGGTGTGGTGCAGGAGGTTGACTAGGCTACACCCATCATGGCCATGCTCACCCAGCAACCCGGCAGAGAACCTGTTGCTAAAATTTTTGAAGCCCACCCCTGAGCCATTTATGTCAACTTTCCTGTCCTCCCCTCCCTCCCCCCTCCCAAAACCCCTCAGAGTTTAGAGAAAGCAAAGTTGTAATACTGCATAAAGGTAAGTCATGTTATTGCCACATGACAGTAAAAATGGAGAGTCAAGTTCTTACTTTTTATACTGTTTTCAAAGGCTTTCATTTTAAATCTAAGTAGGACATTGTTTTTGTAATTTTTTTTCTGGACCACTCCTCTAGAGGACATTTGCTAGATAATTTGGAGATAGTTCTGCTGTCCTTTCCTCATTCCTCTCATTCCTCCCTTAGAAAGAGAGAATCCCTTAATAAGGAGAATGTTTTTCAGCAAAAGATTGCAGTAAAACCCTGGAAGATTCAAAAACAGCTAAAACTCCTTTGCTATTTTCATCCCATCCCGATTAAAAAAAGAAGAAGCAGCTGCAGATGTTTTGATGCTTCCCTATTATGGTCTATGGATTTTTTTTCCCCACTATTGAAATTTGATGTTATTTGAATATTTTTGCCTTTGAAATTCAGGTCGCACTATGCCATCTTTGAACCTAACAAAAATTATATCTGGAACAAATCCAGTTGATTCACAAAAGCCCAGTTTTCCATGCATTTCAGACACACCACAATTCAGCCAACAGAGTATGGGGAAAGGAAACACAGAGCAGGGGTGTCAAACTCGTGATGACACATTGTCGTATCATGTGATGTATCACAACTTTTTTCCCCTTCTATTAACTGGGGGTGGGGGTGGCCAGCGTGTGACACATTCAGCCTGAGGGCCCTGAGTTTGACACCCCTGAGATAGAGAGATGGACTTGTCCTGCCAAAAGGGGGAAAAAAATAAAATGCAGGGGTGATCTAATCCCCCAAGCTGAATTTGCAGCTGAATTTGTAGAGCCCTGTGTCAGAAGAATAATTTGGGGTTCCAACTCGAGCCAGGGCTGTGCAAGAGTAAATAAAAATGAGACCTAGACACCTGTGAGGAAAGAAGAAATATCTATTCCTAAAAGCAAAACAGTTTGCATTTAGGGGCAGGCTGCAGAGAAATGGGCACAGCAGCAAATTTGTATAGGGGGAGCTTGTCCAGAGTGTCACGTGCTGATTCTAGAGTGACATTTGAGGTGTGTGTGTGTGTGTGTGTGTGTGTGTGTGTTTATTCTTGTGAACATGCAGTTCTTCTGGGAGACCTAATTTAATTAACTTTGTATTTGTCAACCTTATCCTTTGATTTGTGGATTAGGTCTAGGTAAATTGTTTGAGGAAGTTTGCTCATTTTAGTTGATTAACTTAGTTTCAGCTTGACTGTTAAATTATCTAGTGGAGACACTGATTCTCAGATCATTGTGGACTCTAAAATATTTTGAAGGGAAGAGACAATATAAAAAATAAAATATATTTGGATATAAAACACACATGTGATAGATTTTGGGATGGGATGGATTTGGATGAGATGCAGAGACTGATGGTCATTGAAGAAATGAGAGCTTAGTATCAAAGTGCACTACAAAAATAAATTTTGTTTCTTAGTCTGAAGAGTTTTATGTTCTTTTATTTATTGTGCATTTGCCATTTCTTATACCCTGTTTCTAATTACTTGCACTTATCTATCTTACTGTAAGTACCCTATTTCTCTTTTCTTTTCTCAGATATACTATTTATGCCCAGACCTTCGATCCTTATTCTCTCCATCCTTTCTATTTTCACATTTCCAAGACTTGATCTTCTGGTTCCTCATCACCGTTGTTCCAGCCACATTCTTCAACCTGACCTTTATCTCTCTCCTAACCTATCCCTTACAGTTACAGATTACAGCAATACCATTCCAAATGCACTGCTTCTCATTAGTTAGCTATTTTATGGCTGTGCCAAAATTCTTTTAGACTTTCTTATACATCCTGATACGTTCTTCATTCTGCTCCGAAGATAATACTACTCTCTAGCTGTGACTCGTGTTGTCTATTTTATAGGCTATTAGAAAACCTGTGACTTGCTAGGTCATCTTTTCTGAGATATCCCCTGACTTAAACAGAGGAACAGAATTAGTGGGAAGGGAGCAAACAAGTAGTGCAAGGAGGCGTTGGCTGCTGGGAGTTTGCAGGAGTTTGGGAGAGCCCCTAGCAAAGATTCTGTGCAGTTTGGAGAACCCCCAAATCCCACTCCTGACTGGCCCCACCCACTCGCCCCCACCCGCAGGAGTTCCCACACAGCTCATTTTGGATGCTGGTAAGTGCAGGGCGCACGCGGAGGCTCGGGGAGGGCGAAAAACAGGTCTCCCGGAAGTTCAGAAAGGTCAGAAATGGGCCCGTTTCTGGCTTCCACAGAGCCTCTGGAGCATGGGAAGGCCATTTTCGCCCTCCCAAATGCTTGAGAAAAGCATCGGTAAGTTGGTCATGGTCATGGGATGTTTCACTTTATAATCGTGTCAATTAGCCAGTGGAGTAGCCAGTCCCAGTTACGGTCCATAAGTGAGGATTACCTATATTTCCATCCTTCATTTATTCTATACTTTTACACTTAAGTTTCATTTTTCCATCCTTCATTTATTCTATACTTCTACACTAAGTTTCACTTTTTAATTTCTATTCTTTTCTCCTTGACTTCTTGAAATAACTTTTGACTGCCATCTGTGGTCACCTGGATTTTTGCAGCCCAGATCTGGAAGATTTTTTTTTTTTTTTACATAATTTCTTTCAAGGATATTGAAGGTATTACAAGTTTGCATGGAACCATGACTTTTTCAACTTGGTTTTATCAAATAAACCCCAATTGGCAGGTTTAGATTATATACCAAGCCACAAACGGTAATTTGCAAGCCAAAATTGGTGGTTCACATCATATGCTAAGGAAACATTCCAACTAAACTATTGCTTAGTGTGTGGTAGGAACCAGATAAAAGAATAGTTTAAATAATGCTATGAAAAATGCAACATAATCCAAACCACATTTATTTAAAAAATATATATATCATGAAAATGATAAGAAGAGCTCTACTGGATTATATTTGAAAACTTCAGAAAAGACAGACTACAGAATACAAAATAATAATTGGAAGGGACATTGGAGGTCCAAACCCCTGCTCAAGGCAACAAATGGTTGTCCGGTCTCGTCTTAAAAACTTCCAGTGATGAAGCACCCACAACCTCTGGATAAGCTATTCTACTAGTTAATTGTTCTCACTGTCAGAAAAATTCTCCTTAGTTCTAGGTTGGTTCTGTCCTTGATAAGTTTCCATCCATTATTTCTTCTCCTGCCCTCAGCATACTTCCTCTAATGCTATAACCTTCATAATTAATGGCCATCGATCACTAGAGCCTTCATTAATGTTGTCTGGACCATTTTTAAAGCACTTTAAATTGGTGACCATATTGTGCTTGTGAGTTTCTTGTTTATTTTTTTTTTTTTCAGGCAGTGTGAAGCATCTTCATCTTGCCAGTTGTCAATTGTCCACCATCCAGCTCACGGATGTCCAACTTGATCACATCACATGACATATCGTGATGTATCATGACATTTTTTTGTCTTTACTGAGCTGGGGGAGCCGGGGTCTGCGTGTGACACACCTGGTCCGCAGGCCACCAGTTTGACACCCCTGATTTCCAGCTCCATTGTAGAGCTGCAGGCCTGAGTGATGTCACAAGTGTCAGGATGACTCCCAAATAACACCCAGGCCTAACTATGACTTGATGTAACTATATATACTCTCTTCCCATTTTCCACAAAGTGTTATTTTTACAAGCTTCTTACGCTTTCTTATATGTGGGGTTCTTTGCTCTCCCAGGATCTGACACACCACAGCATAGCAAATCTATACAAAACACTTCATTGTCACTCACATCTTCCCCAGCAACAGGCTGTTGCTCTGGGTTAACTCTGCCTTTCTAGGCTTTGCAAGAGGATATTGTCACGTAAATAGGTCTTTAATACTCAGTCCCTTAATACTTGTCTTTTAATTTTCAGATCAAACTAATGTCTCAAAGTCTTTAAAGAAGCATACAACCTTTTGGTTTTTTCCAAACATCTTGCACTAATTGGGATGAGGTGTTGCTTCAGTGTGGTCGCTCCTGTTCTAGTTGCTGCCAAGCTCCAGGGAAAGGTCCAAACTGGACTCCTACCAAGCTATGCTGTTCACTGTAGCTCAGGGGTGTTTCAACCTTGGCAACATTAAGCCTTATGGACTTCAACTCCCAGAATTCCCCAGCTGGCCGTGTGGGCTGGGGAATTCTGGGAGTTGAAGTCCACAAGACTTAAAGTTGCCAAGGTTGGACACCCCTGCTTTAGCTTATGATCCTCGTAGTTGATTGAAAGTCCTCTTGCTTGCTTGTACCAGCTGTCAACCTGCAGGCATCACCTCCACTTCCCCGTCTGTAGGCGCTTTGCTTTCATCTTTTCTGACACACCTACCTCTTTTCCCACTCTGCTTTAGCATTAGCCTTTGTAAGCTCCAAGTTTTGGGTGGGTGAGGATGTCTCTGGATGTCAGTCATTCCTTGAAAACGGCCCAGTTAGCACAGGCAGTTGGCATGGATGCCTGGGAGTATGAGAGCCTGCCTGAAAGCATGATAGAAGTGCCAGGGAAGCATTTCTGCCTGGCCGTAGTTGCTTTTCCAAAGCACAGGTAGTGGTCCTAATTTCACTACCTTACATTATGCAGCCTTATGTTCAGTGAAGCTTTTGCACCCTGGGAAATGGTGTAATTTAATAATCTTTAAATAGGTCAAAATCTAAGGCCTAAATCATCCCAGTGACCCCTTTCTTCCACATTTGAAAACACGTTCAACTCCATCTTTATTCACTTTAATAATTAATTTACTAGCAATTGCCCATTTTCCTCTTCCTTCACCTACTCCTTGGGCGATTATTGCCAATCTAATGGTTCAAATATTCAAAATTGCCACTCCTTGTAATTTTTAGTATGCCAAAAATTGCCTTGGTTTGTTCTTGCTATTTCTATTAATTATTTTCCTGCTCGTCAAACACGTGGGATGTAACAGATGTTTAAGCTTTCCAAAGAAATTGCCTGCTTATATTTCTGGGAGAGAAGAGACCGTTAAGATTAATAGGCCAGAAACAAAAATCCAACTCATAAGTCAAAAGGGGGGGTTGTTGCAGCATTGAAGACAAGATGGTGATTTATACTAGTCTCCTCTCTGAACCATATTATCTGACTTGGGTTACTACTGTATACTAACTTTGTAAAGCCTACATGTTTCCTTATTAACAGAGGGTGTGTGTGTATATTTGTTTAAGTCAGCAGTAACCCAGTCCATAAGGTCAAGATTTGTGCTTACATCCTATTGGACAAAGCAAAGATATTTTATGGAAAGTCTTGATGTTAATGAATGTTAGTGCTGTGTTACCATCTACAAGGAACATCCGACTTCTCAAATTATATAGATGAATGGACTTCAACTCAGAACAGAGGTGGCATTTGGCAGGTTCTGACCAGTTCTGGAGAACCGGTAACGGAAATTTTAAGTAGTTCAGAAAATCGGCAAATACCAGCTCTGACTGGAGTTTTATTAGTTATCCTTCCCCTGCCATGCCCACCAAGCCACGCCCACAGAACCGGTAGCAAAAAAATGGAATCCCACCACTCAGATTCCTGAAGCAATATGGCCATTGCAAAGAATTATGGGGCTTCAAGCCTCTATAAGGCACCTGTATTGAAGAAGGATGCATAACAACCCAACAAAGCATTCTTGAATCCTGTGTTAATTTAGGTGGCATGCAGAATGGCTACCACTAGGTTCTGTTATATCTATACATACTATATCTATATTTATATCTCTATATCTCTATCTATCTCTATCTCTATTTATCTATCATCTATCTATCCTATCTATAAAATGTATATAATGTGTATAATGCATATATGCACACACACAAACACATACATATATTTATCTTCTGCATATGGAATTCTGCTTTCTTCTATAGCAACTCGATTCCTGCAGCTAAGCCATATTTTAATTATTGAAGCTATGCATCGAGCCACTGTTGCTTAGCACTATATATGAACCAAGCCGTATTTTAAAGAATGAACTCCTATATGAACTCCTATAAATGAACTCCTATAATTTGATTTTAATAAGGGAAGGCTAAGTTAAGAGCTCTTAGCTTTTGTTAGATCATGCATCGTGTGTTTCCATTGTAGACTTTAATTGTGCACCAATATTTTGGATGCATTTTTCTATGAAACAGCCTGTATACGTTCAGGTTGGTTTTGTTGAGAAAGTATCAAATTCTTCTTTCTTTTTCTCGTCTCCTGACAGCATGGGATGGGTATTCCCTCCATTTCTATCATGCTTCATGAACTAATCAAATTGCTACACCATGCAAAATGCTGTGATGTTACCATTATCCGCATCGGTACCTCAGGAGGATTAGGTAAGCCAAGAGTTTTGCTGCTGCCAGGTATAGGGGATGCAGATGAAAAACAGCTCAGAAAAGGTCAGATCTTGATGAGAATTTTTCAACATGTTTTAATATACATTTCAAGTCAACAAAATCCAGGCAGCAAAGCTATACACAGAGAGATCACAAATGTGTATTTGGCTGAGATAACATCACTCTGAAAATATGGGGCTTGATGTCCTTTCTAAATTAAAGTCATTCAAAATAAATTTTCCTTGGGATCTATATAAGAACAGCACTAACTGGAACAAAGAAATATAATACCGTACCATAAAAGAGTATTTTGCAATCGCATTTATAACATATTAAATTCCTGCACTTTAAAATATGGACTTCTCTTCATACTTGTTCAACTGCAAGCAGCCTATTAATTTTAATCAAAAGAAAAGCTTTATGTGCTTTCAGAATGAGTGAAAAGAGCTTCTAGGTCTCAAAAGATTATCTTAAATACATAAATGAATTTTCTCTGTTTTAAAGAATCTGATCACCTGCTCACCAGACTAAACTGAGACCGTTAATTTCCTTTCTTATGTTGGTTCTCATGACAGACTAAACAGGTGCTGGAGGACGATACTTTAATCTAAAGCCTGTTAGCCCACTATGATTGTGGACAAACATATAACATATGTCATATTTCTAACATTTAAAATAACATATAGATATAGAATATATATATTCTTAGCCAAGTGAGCCAGCATTGTCTGAAGATGCTTCCATAGTCATGACTGCCTTTATGAGTTCTATCAAGGAATATTTATTTATTTATTTATTTATTTATTTATTTATTTATTTGTTTGTTTGTTTGTTTGTTTGTCAATTGCTTACAAGATAATAGATATAAGTAAAAACATAGCTATGAATACATGGATACATATAAGAAAAATAAAAATATATATAAAAGAAACAATAGGACAGGGACGGTAGGCGCGTTGGTGCGCTTATGCACGCCCCCTACAGACCTCTTATGAAAGGGGTGAGGTCAATAGTAGACAGTCTAAAGTTAAAGTTTTTGAGGTTTGGGGAAAAAACCACAGAGCCAGGTAGAGTATTCCAGACATTGACCACTCTGTTGCTGAAGTCGTATTTCCTGCAATCAAGTTCGGTGCGATTAACCTTGAGTTTGTATCTATTGTTTGCTCTTGTGTTGTTATGGTTGAAGCTGAAGTATTCATTAACAGGTAGGACATTGCAACGTATGATTTGATATACTATACTTAGATCAGACCAAAGGTGGCGTAGTTCTAGGTTTTCTAGGTCTAGAATTTCGAGTCTGGTGGCATAAGGTATTCTGCAACAAGTAAAGGAGTGGAGAACTCTTCTTGTGAAATATTTTTGGACTTTCTCAACTGTTCTCAACTGTGTTAATATCAGATACATAATGTGGGTTCCAGACTCGTTACAGCTGTATTCGAGTATTGGTCTAGCAAATGTTTTGTATGCTCCAGTTAGCAGTGTAATATTACCAGAGAAAAAGCTACATAAGATTAGGTTAACAACTCTTAACACCTTTTTGGCTATGTAGTTACAGTGGGCTCTAGCACTTAGGTCATTTGAGATGAATATTCCAAGATCCTTGACAGAGTTTGGATTATCAACATGGTCTGGACTATTCAGCCTGTATTTTATTTTCTGATTTTTTTTGCCAATATGTAGGACAGAGTATTTATTTGTTGAGATTTGAAGTTGCCATTTGTTTGACCATTCTGATACATAGTCAAGGTCTTTTTGAAGGGTAGCAGTATTGTCTGCGGTGTTGAATAGCTTTACATCATCAGCAAAGAGAACGCAGTTGCTCTTGATATGATCACAGAGGTCATTTATGTAGAGTATGAAGAGAGTTGGTCCTAGAACACTGCCTTGGGGGACACCACTGTTGACAGGTACAGAATTTGATAGGACGCTCCCAATTTTTACCATTTGTTGTCTGTTTGACAGGAATGCTTCTATCCAGTTATGCACGTGTCCAGAGATACCGTAAGATTTTAGTTTTAGGAGTAGTTTGTCGTGTACCACTGAATCAAAGGCTTTACAGAAATCTATGTAGATTGTGTCTATTGCTTTGCCCTGATCAAATTGTGTAGTCCATATGTTTTTGCAGTGTAAGTGTTGCAGATTACATGATAGTTTTTTCCTAAAACCAAATTGTTTATTAGAGAGTCGGTTGTTTGTTTCTAAGTGGAGAATGATGGATTGGTTAATAATTGATTCCATGACTTTACAAGTGACGCAGCACAAAGAGATTGGTAATTTGTAATCTGTAATTTTCAACTAGGCTGGGGTCTCCCTTTCTGAAGATGGGGATGACCGTGGCTTGTGACCATTTGTTCATCTGAAAAATATATGGCATCAGAAGCTGATGCTCAGTGTCTCTTGATGGAAGTATTGTTTTCTGTATAGTCACCTTCTGGTTCTGAAACATTTTTACTTTCTGAAATGGTACCTATTTATCTACTCACGTTTGCATGCTTTCAAAATGATAGGTAGGCAGGAAATGGGGCAAGAATGAGGGCTCACCCAATCACACAATGTTTGGGTTTTGAACTGCCAGCCTTCTGGGTTGGCAAGCCCACCACGTTAAACACTAGGCCACTGTGCCCCTTCATACATACTGTACACACATACATACAGGCTTATAGAACATATCTATAGATTGAGCATGAACAGAATCCTAAATTTAACAGTCACTTTGCAGAGTGAGATGGGTAACATCAGAGGTGGTATTCAGCAGGTTCTGACCAGTTCTGGAGAATCGGTAGCGGAAATTTTGAGTATTTCAGAGAACCGGCAAATACCACCTCTGACTGGATATTTCACAGTATCCTTCCCCTGACACTCCCACCAAGCCACGCCCAGAGAACTGGTAGTACAAAATTTGAACCCCACCACTGGGTAGCAATAGCAATAGCACTTATATACCCTTCACAGTGTTTTACAACGCTTTCTAAGCCAGTGGTCCCCAACCGTTACAGCTTGGTGGCCTGGCTGGGTGGAGGGAAAAGGGAACTGGGCAGGCTGGAGCACCTGTTCATGCACCTCCACTCGTGTGCATGCTGCGTGTGCGAGTGGAGCTGCATGCGTGTGTGAGCCGGCCCACCACTCAAGCGACCTGGTTCCAAATAGGCCATAGCCCAGTATTGGGCTATGGCTTGGGGATTGGGGACCCCTGCTCTATGCAGTTTACAGAGTCAATCTATTGCTCCCAACAATCTGGCTCCTCAGTTTACCCACCTTGGAAGGATGGAAGGCTGAGTCAACCTTGAGCCTGGTGGGATTTGAGCTGCCAAATTGCAGTCAGCCGGCAGTCAGCAGAATTAGCCTGCAATATCACTGCACTACCATGGCTCATGTAAATTTAATAAATAACTAAATAAAATGAAATATAATCAAAATTTAAAACAGACTTTAGTTGATAGAATATGGATTGCCCTCATTCACCCTGAGTCAAGAGGGAAGGTTACTGTGTTTTGAGAAGTTCAAAACCTAGATTTCTTTGGTGTTAACCTAAGTACCTCAACTAACTCCCTGTGTTATGGTGATTATTTGCCTCTCAATTAAGTGTCCACTCAACTATCTATGATTAAGACTTCCATTTCTGCATTTGTTTCAGTATGCCTGTGTCACCACCAGGTTTGACCAGGGCATAAATGGGGGTGGGGGCTTATTTGTTTTTATGGAGCATGTTTTAGTTATTTGCTCCAACAAAATATTGAGAAGAAAAGAATCACCCACTAAACTGCCTTCATGTCAGCCGAGAATAGTGCAAAATGGCTGCTGGCTGACTAATTGAGCCATCAAAATCTTATGCATTTAGCTCAATCTTCTTGAGATAAGTGACTGATGGAGAGGATCTTTGGATCAGCCAGGTCAGGCAGACACAACCAATGACTTATTACTGGTGTCAGTTCCACCTTTCTCTAAACCAAAATATTCAGTTTTGCTATATTCAGATTCCTAGGATCAAGCTAAACCTATTGTAAAGAGTTGAGTCAAACTCAGTGGCTGGTGACTCCATGGACATCTCTATGTTCTTTTCTTTGGCTATAATACAGAAGTTGCTTGTCATTGCCTTTTAGGGTGGTTTTTTCAATTTCCTAGTCTGGTCTATAGCCTCAAGATTTCTTAGTAACTTCCTACATCATGTACTATCTAACACTGCTTACCTCTGAGGGATAGCCAAGACCAACTAAAACAGTGGTCCCAACCTTTTGGGCATCAGGGACCAGTTTCGTGGAAGACAATGTTTCTACAGATTGGAGGAGAAGGACGATGCAACCTAGATCCTTCACATGAACAGTTTCTAGTAGGGTTTATGCTCCTATGAGAATCTAATGCTTGATGTGGAACTGAGGCGGTAACGCTAGTCCTGGGGAATGGATGCAAATCTAGATGACGTTTCTCTCACTCACCCACCACTCCCCTCCAGCTGTGCTGGTCCATGGCCATGGGTGGGGACCCCTAAACTAAGGGATGCCATCTGCTGTAAGAGATTCTAATATCTACTGGGACATAGTTACCCATTCATATTTCTTCATTCACTGTGTATTTTCAACTTTTAGGAGTTGAGCCTGGCTCTGTGGTAATAACAGATGTGGCAGTGGATTCCTTTTTCAAGCCCCAGTTTGAGCAAGTGATCCTAGACCATGTGGTGACACGAAGCACAGAGCTTGACCAAGACTTGGCTTCTGAGTTACTCAAATGCAGCAGAAACGATTTCCCAACACTAATGGGCCATACAATGTGCACGTATGATTTTTATGAGGGTAAGCATGATTTTAAGTGGCTATGGAGATTCTCAATTATCCAGGTCATGGTTGTCCCAAAAGTGCTTTTCAAAAGGCAACTGGACTTCCTTGTTTTTTTTTGCCTTGAAAATGTTTCACTTTTCCTTCATGAAGCTGAAACTGAAGAAGCTTCTTGGATGAGAAATGAAATGTTTTCAAGGAAAAAAACAAGAAAGTCCAGTGATCCAAGCATCCTCGTGACATGTTTTTAACTGAAAATTGAAAATATGAAAAGTTTATAGTAGCTAGCCAGTTTGGGGGAAGCATCACTTTGATCTCTGTTTCCTTAATGAATTTGAAGTAAATAAACATGCTTATGCTAAAACCTCCTCTCCCATCAGTTCTGCTATTGGGAGGGTTTCATGGCACTCTGATTTCCAGAGACGCTGCTCTTGACCTCTCTCACAATCATGTCCTCATACAGTGTCCTTTTATGAAGCCCCAAGACGTGTTCTGATCACCCCAATCATTTCCAGACATGTGGGACACACTGATACATTTTATTTTTACTATTTTTAAGGGATGCTAATCTCACACTCACATATCGGGTGGCCAAATACCTTCACCAAGTTACATAACTGCACAAAACTTTTAATTAGATATGTTATTTTATTATCCTGTTGGTTTTTCCTCCTTTCCCAGTAACAAATTGTTGTATCAAACTACTTTTCTTTTTTATTGTAAAGACTGATCAAAGACCGTAATAAAGATATTTGATTTTAATTTGATGCTAAAACCTCTTCCCATATCCATAGTACTCAGAACTAAATTCAATGGAACTTGCTTCCAGATAAGTAAAAATATTGATTGCAATTATTTTACCAGGAATAAGCATCATTAAGCATAATCTTAACTTTCCTAATCCATTTGGCTTAATCATTAGTGGTAATTATCCCACTAATATTATTGGATCCCCATTTTTAGTGGTCTATCTTCCGTTGCTCTTAAAAATAAGCTTTTGTTAATTTTGAGGGCAGTAAAATGGTAGCATTTTATCATTTTATAGGATTCGTTAATAAATATAGAGCCAGTAAAGAAAAATGCAACTCTGCATCAATACTTTGGTTCTATTTTAATTATATGTCTTGTCATTTTAAAGACAATTACAACAATTAAACTTCAGTTTAGTTTTGCCCCATGGAGTTTCATTGATAAATAAGACAAGTTACCACACCCAAAAAATAAAACAAAAACCAAACAAAATTATTATTTCATTTCTTGACTGAAACCCTAAAATGGTCACTAGAAAGTAGAAAATAAAGTAGTAAGAGAGAAGTGGAACATTTTTTTTCCTGAAGAATTTCAGAGCTAAGTCACCTGAGATATCTGTCACATTTACCCACTTTTCTATCAAGGAAATTACTTCAGCGACAGCAAAGCAGTAAATCTAGACATATTGCAGAATTGGACCTTTTAACATTCCTTAATACTGATAATTTATACCAGCGCTTTTGAGAATGGTGGTCTAAGAGCCGTCATCTAATAAGTGAAGAGGCCAGACCCCTCCCCCCCAAAAAATGGATGGGAAAAATAAAAAACTAAATTTGATGCACTTAGAATATTTAATTCAACACAGTTAAAATGTTCGTTGTGTATTCAATGATTTTCCCTTCCATCACATTGATTTTGTGCCAGCTCATTGTTGTCAACTGTTAGAGTACCATGTTGATTGATGGATGGATTGAAGTTAGAAACCACATAGCTAGATCAATCCATGACAATCTGTCCCCAGACTGGCATTTCATACCCCCTCCAATGGTGTACTTAACATCACTGTACCTGAGTCCACCCACCTTGTTGCCAGTTGTCCTTGTGCCCTCCCTCCCTCCCTCCCTCCCTCCCTTCCTTCCTTCCTTCCTTCCGTTGGAAGAAATATCCTTCTGGGTTCAGTTCCAAGTGGGGAAAAAGACACTGGAAACATGGAGGCTGATTGGAAAGATGGTTTAATGGTGGACAGGACCACATGGCTTGGAGCTCCAAAGTGAAAAGGATGATCACATGCTTCAAGGTGAAAAGAGAAGGGTGAGCCAAGATGCTGAGAGACCCTTATACACCCTCTGGTGGGCCCCACCTTAGTGTTTCCTATTCCCGTGCAAGAAATGTATTCCATTGGCTGTCAGACGCCCAGAGGCGGGGGTCTTAGCTAACTTTGTAGGCTTTGTCTGTCTGGACCACATGGTTTCACCTGAGTGCTGGCTGATGCAATCTTCCCAGGCCAGGTGGTGAGATGGGTAGAGGGCTTTGTTATGTAGAATATTCTGGCCCAGGCCTTAATGGCCTGCCCATTAACAAAGGTGGGGGTGAGCTTCTGCTTCTGAGGTGAGTTTCTGCTTCTGAGTTCTACTTCTCTTTTGAGGGGAAATATTCTGCCTTTTTAATATTTCCTAGGATATTTCATTTTTCTAGGAGAGGGGTAGGTGCTAACTTCCTACCCTTCCTTCCTTCGCCTTTCCCAGCATTAGAACTTTAGACTTTCTGTAGAGAGCTCGGTGTTCAAATAACGTGTCTGAAGTAGAATGATTTCAGCCTCTCGTTTGTGCCTCAAGTGAGAACTCTGCGTTGATTTGTTTTGATATGTTTATTTATTTTTTTCTTTGCTAAGTGTTGTGATATTCTCAGGAGTCTTCTCCAACACCAAAGCTTTTTTTTAAAAAGCCATCAATATTCTTCCTAGCCTGTTTCTTCAAAGTCTAACTTTCACTGCCATCATATTAAATAGTGTTATTTAGTGGCAACTTTGGAAGACTCTCAGAGATGAACCAAAAACTTTACAGGGATTCATATAGCTATAGGAGTGCAGGCAAGGCATTTTTTGCTTCAGATGCCAAGCAAAGCCTTTTTTTTAAATCTCAGGATTCTTAAATTCTTCAAATGACTTTTTTTTAAATTAGCACATCTGCTGTTTATCCTAGGGACCGATGCCTAGTATTTTTGCTATATTTTTAATTCACTGCAATATTAATCCAGCTTCCCATCTCCTTTATGACATTTAAGAAACTCTAAAATGTTCTTGATTTGCATCCTCAACAGTGCCAGTTCATTGAGTAAAAGATGCAAGCATTTCATAGAAAACAGTTAAAATAAAAGAGCCTCCAGTCAATCATCATATCATCATGTTAACAGCTGGATTACATGCCAGCTACCTTCTGTGACAGGATTATAGCTTCCCAAATTACCTTCCCCTAAGAAAAATGTCAAGAAGTCTGGCATTTACATAAGTACCCATTAGTGCCTCTCATACCCCAGGACCTTTTCTCTGGAGACAATTAAGTGCTGTTTGCAAAATGGATAAAACAGAAGAAACGGAGAGAAGTCATCATCTGTGGAGTCTGTGGCTGGCCAATCTGAGTTTGGGCCACCTCTCATGAAAGCCAGTTTAGAGGCTTCACCTACAGAAACAAAATTGCAATGGAATAGCTTGTAATAGGTTGGTTCTGCTGCAGGGTAGGGTTAAAAAAAACACCAAGAGATACAAAGAGATCGGCAACTGGTTTAAAGTAGTAATTAAAGAGATTGATTTGCAAACTATGTTCATCCCATCAGGAAGTCTTCATCACACTCAAAGACGCAGATTTCTAGAATGTTCCATTTAGGGTTAATCAGACTGATTTACAGAAATGTGGGTTGTGTTTGGAACTGAGTTTTCCTCTTCCATCCAGGTGTTCCCTCCTTCCTTCTCTGCGGGGGGTAAACGTAATGCAAATAACTTGCAGAGAGAGACTGGCCAATAGTTGGTGTTTGGGGCCCTGAGAATTTGGACGCTCTAGTAAGAAGAATCAACATTAAATGAAAATTAAATATCACCAACAAAAGCACCCATTTGCCTAGACATGCTAGCTAGGTGACACTTATCCAAATGGAAAGCGGTTTGGACAGTAATGAAGGTGTTATAGTAACCTGGTTTTTTTTTTTTCCTTCTCCCAATTAAATGCCAGCCATTGTAAAGCGTGACATTTTTTTTTCAGGGCAGCAAGTAGTAAAAGCATCCGGAGGTTGTGTTTTGTGAGCTTTCTGCTTTACAAAGAACTTCCAGCAGGAGGTTCAAATATGCCGCTGTGTCTTTTTCTGCAGGACTAGTGCTGCTTTCATTATTGGCTTCTGCAGCTTTCCTCAGCACAGAGCGATAAAGAACACATTTGCCTTAATTTATTATCTTCACCGTTGAAGGCATTTTTTACATTCCCTCTTTTTATGTATTCTATTCTGTCAGTCACTTCTCGCATTTTACAGAAGTGTTAAAAACTATGTGGCGGATAAGTTATTAGTATTTCAAACAGCGGGTTATTAAAGTTGATTTTTTTTTAATGGGAGTTTCTTTTTTTATTTAAGTAGGCTGTCAGTAAAGTTACCTTTAGGCTTTCAGAAGAAAGCACTCTCTCTGCAAAAGCCAATGCTGTGGAAGTCAGGCTGCACGAAAGCATAACACACTGATATTTTCCTCTTTCCCTTTCCCTTTTAAGGCCAAGGACGGTTAGATGGAGCCTTGTGCTGCTTCTCTAATGAAAAAAAGCTAGAGTATTTAAAAAGAGCATACAATGCCGGCGTGAGAAACATAGAAATGGAATCCACAGTATTTGCTGCGATGTGCAGGCTTTGTGGCCTGAAAGGTAAGTCAGAGGACTTCTGCAGGGGTGGGATTCTACCAGTTGGCATCTATTCGCTAGAACCGGTTGTTAACATTCTAAGCAGTTCGGAGAACCGGTTGTTAGAAGAAATTACTGGCCTAATCCTGTAAGGAAGGCAGGAAGGAAACATTCTGGTGTTGCTTACAGAAACTGCCTCTCCGTTAACCCTTATTACATTCTTGGCAGGACTAGACTTCCTGTCTCAGGAACTTCTCTGGAGTTTTTTCCCCCTCCTTTGCTGGTACTTTGCTTGTGTGGAATGACCATTCAAAGTTAGAATGGCACTGAAAAAAGTGACTTATGACCACTTTTCACACTTACAACTGTTGTAGCATCCCCACAGTCATGAGAGGCCAGGCAAGGAGATTCGTGCCTCGATGTGAGTGATATTGAGTTGGCCACGCCCAGCCAATGTGACCACCAAGCCATGTCCACCCAGTCACATGACCACCAAGCCACGCCCACAGAACCGATTGTTAAAAACTTTGAATCCCACCCCTGGACTTCTGGGAGGTTCTCCTCCCCTGGGTAGTCCTGCTTTTTGTTTTAGTTTCAGGAGAGAGAGAGAGAGACTAGTCTTTTGAGTTTAAGAAACTCTTCTCTGCGGTCTTCCCAGCCACTGGGACTCAAGTGGGGCCTTTTCTATCTCCTATCTAAGGCCTTTCAACCTAGCCTACTGCCAAACTGAGGTATTTCTATTTATGAGCAGGTAACATGACTTTATCTTCCCATATGAGGGACCAAAGCTGAGAACAGGAAAATAACCATTATAGATATACAGCCAATTCTACACAGATAGTAACTCAGAGGGGTGAACTCTTGAGGTCCAGAAGCTTCTTCGGCATTGCCTTCAGGCACCTTGGCAGCTTACTTAAAGAGGCAGTGCATTTTCAACTACATAGTTATACTCAGTGCTGTCCAAATTTTCCCTTGGCAAGGTTGCTCAGCCACAGAAAATCTTCCAAAAATCTCACCTCTGATGACTTAGACTCTCATGGCCTTTCTTACTGGCTCCTCTGCACCCAGTCAGCTCCTTGTCATCTCTCTGGTTTAAGGTAAAGGTTCCCCTCCCACATACGTGCCAGTCGTTTTTAGCTCTAGGGGGCAGTGCTCATCTCTATTACAAAGCCGAAGAGCCAGCGCTGTCCGAAGTTTTTTTTTTTAACATATGGTTCATTATATGTATTACTCATTACCAATTGGTAATTTGATAAGAAAATAATTCAACAAGTTTAAATTTGCTTTCTGGCATAATAAAACAGGTAAGTGAAAGTAATGATTTCAGTACTTTTTTTTGTAATTCTCTGGATGCTGCCAAAAGCTGTAAGAGGAAAATGATGCACTACTAGTGTTTAGTTTTGCTACACTATTCAGAAAAGGAAAAAAAGTGTTCCAGTTGAAAGGTATTGATTCACACATCCTTGGATCAGATATGTTGTCCACTTGCTACTTATAATTTGAAGAACAAACTATGTTTTTACATGTGTAATTCAGCCACACACTGCAATACTTTTGCAAATCTGGAGATACAGTGTTAGGTCACATTGTATAAAGCACTTACAAAGGTACATAGTAAAGCTATCATATCTAAATGATCACTAGAGCAAAGATATCTAGAGAGAAAAAATCTAGATATTATTAAAACATAACATATTATACAGTAAATAATATTGTATAATATTTTAGCTGTACTGCTACATTAGAAAAACCCCATAAGAAATGTTGTGATCCAGCATAAAGCATTTGATTTTTATTCAATCTATTTTGTTTTCCTTACCAAACCCATATGGCTTTAACAAAGTTATTATTACTCCAGGATCATAAATTGGCAGAGGTGCTTACAGCTGAAATCACAGCTACAAATCCAGTCCTGTCTGAGATCAATAAACTAAAGTTTATTACTGGGTGGATAAAGCAGTAGAAAGCCAGTCTGGTGAGGAATCCAAGTTCTCCGAGGAACTTTGTTCACAAAGTCAGAGAAATTATTCTAGTATTTGAGTACCCTCAGGCAGGGCTTAAATACTGGAAATATCCTGCACTCATTAGCTCTGTTTATCAGAGCCCAGTTACTTAAAAAAACAACCTGAGAAGATCATCCTGCCTAAGGCTAATCTCTCTGCAGCTTCTCTGTTTGCCTGATTTTCCTTCCACTGTATGGAGATGATGCTCATTAAGGCAGATGCTGTTTCTTTACTTGGGCAACCGAGAGTCTCTGCTTAGAATTTAGAATTCTTCAGGACTAGAATCGGGACCAATGAGGCCCAGTTCGGCTCTATGATTCATGCTATTCTTCATCACCTGGACTCTCTAGTAGGGCTTCATTTTGCTCTCCTTCCTCCTGTGATGAGAAGTCTCCTATGGAGAGCGTAAGACTCTTCAACCTAAATGGCCAGTATATCCTAAAGATAGCTGGATTGGTGCTGGAGCTTCATATACTGAGGCTTCATCGGAAAAGAAGGAGACTGGGTGGGGTAATTACCTCAGTCTACCTCATTAGAGGCATTCTCCATTTCTTTTGTGAAGACTCTCAGAAAAGGTGAAGAAAAGAAAAATAGCATGGCTTACACTTAGATGATTCATTAAGCCATGAGCAACTGAGTTCAGGCAATATGCTAAGTCATAAATTCATAATTTACAAATCATAATGGCTGAGCTCACAGTAAGCCAAGCCAAACACTTGTCCACTTTTTCACTTCACTGTCCTGTGTTACTATTTCTTACCTGAGACTCATTCTCAATCTCCTACAAAGGCATCAGCTGTTTAATTGCAATATAACCATCAGATTGACAGAGTTAATGTGCTGCATTGACATCCACATATATACTTACTGGAGCAGTGATTAGCATGCAGTATTGCAGACAAATGCAGCTCGCTGCCAGGAGTTCGATCCTGACAGGGATCAAGATTGACTCAGCCTTCCATCCTTTCCGAGGCTGGTAAAATGATGACCCAGATTGTTTGGGAGGGGGCCAATATGCTGACTCTGTAAACCCATTTAGAGAGGGCTGTAAAGCACTGTGAAGAAGTGGTATATAACTCTAAGTACTATTGCTATTGTCTGTATGCATGTTGGATCCTTTCTCCTTTGCTTGATGTCAGCTGTCTAGGCCCCAACTCAAAGTGACACTGGAAAAGTGGGCTTGGAACCAGCTGTTTCTGCAGTATTTCCCACAATACCCCTGAGTATCACTCCCATTTAAGTTTTGTAAAATAGGAGGTCTCTTTGGCATGAAAGGCAATTCAGTCCTAGCAGCCTGCTGTCTAAAATTGTATTGCTGACACCTCAAATGCTAAGCAGCATTTTATGCCATTTCTACTGCTTGGTTTGATGGAGAACTACAATAATTTGGGGGCTGAAAATGCAGGTGCAAAAGCTATGCTTTTACAGACAAAAACTGCTCCTGGTGACAGGGATGTTTTAAATTGGTTCTTGGGGACTGTGTGGGATGGACAATGGAGGATGGGAAAAATAGCAGTCTTAGCAGAACCAAAGCTTTTCAAGACATCCTGAGAAAAGTTTCCACTCTCTGTGTGTGTTGTGTGTGTGCTGCGCTTGCATATGTTTATGCATTTTGTTTCATCTTTTTAGAAACTGCAAAGGGTTCTCCATTGGTGCTGGCATTCAGGGCAGTGTACAACTGTTTTCATTTAAAATGCTGCTGAAAACAGAGAGTAATATCCTTTCATTTTGAGTTGAGTTAGAGGAAAGCTATCGTGTAAAATCTGAACTAAAACTAAGCACCTCAGAGTTACAAATCAAAGCACCCCCTCCAGATCCACTTTCATTCCCATATGGGATGGTGCAGTTCTACCCACTTTGAAACCCTTTCCTCCCCAAAAATATTGAGTGCAGCTGCTGACCCCTCAAAAGTTGCCCACCCTTGCTCTACTGTGGCAAATAACTTAGGACACTCAACAATAGTGTTTATTATACATGATATTTCTATTTTCATAAAATCTATTCTTATTTCTCACAGTACTGTATATTTTTATATATATACATGGGCAGTTCCGACCAAGAACGTGACTTATGGGGAAAGTTTAAGTACTATTTTTCTCCATGGTTTATTTTAGTCTCTTAAAACATTCCAATCACAGATACTGTTGATGCAGTAAAGCTTGCCATGGGAGCCTCCAAACTCTTGGAGGGGTTTTAAAACTTCCCTACCAACACTCTTATTATCTTTGTTGAGTTTTGAAGAATTCGTTGGGGGCTCCAGTTATGCACCTGCTTTAAACTGAGTAAAAACAACGTGTTTTTAAGAGCCATACAGGTGTTTTAAAAGGTAGCAATGTAATGATTTGGTTTTCCTTTTGAAGTACAGTAAATACCTATTTGGCAGGCCTAGCAGTGTTTTTATACTGTAGTTCTACAACAGTTATCCCTTAATTTGAAAGTTGTTTAGTAAAATTCTACTATAGCACTTGCAGTCTTGCAGTAAAATTTATACTGACTATGATCATAGCTGTTATAAAAACAAAGTTGACTTTTTTCCCCTCCGTTTTCCCCTGCTTTCAAGCTGCAGTAATCTGTGTGACTCTCCTTAATCGTCTTGAAGGAGATCAGATCAAAGCCTCCCATGAAGTTCTAGCTGAGTATCAGCGACGACCTCAGCAACTGATTGCAACATTGATCAAAAATCGCCTTGGGCTGATTAATGACAAGGAATTATTAGATAATGCAATAGTCTAAAGTATTACAGAATGTGTGAGCCTGGAACAGCATAATATTCATGGATGTGAATTACGAAAGTTAGGTACATTAATCCTGTTGGGTTTTTGTATGAAGCACAAGGACAGAAAAAGAGTGAATTGAAAAACAATCCCACTGATATTTTGAATTTAATAGAGGAAAAACTAATTTTAATTCCGAATACATCATTTTACCTACAAGAATATACTGGATTATGCTTGTTGCCTTCAGAAGAATTGTCTGCATTATTAACTACCTAGAATTAATATTAGTTAAGTACCAGCTAAAGGCAAAGAAAGGAATGAAGCCACCAAGTGTTTAAAAGGTGTGATTTAAAGCCCAACATGTTTCAATTTAGCTACCCTAATAATGATTTTAGTTTGAAATTATTATAGACTGTTAGCTAATGGTATGAGATCATTTAGTGGTCATCACACAAGTCCTATTCATTCTACAAAGATGTTAACTGAATGTTAACTTCATGATACCATGTCATTTACTGGACAATATAAATAATGATCAGTGAAAAATCCAGACTTAATCCTAGCTAAATCAATATGTTAACCCAAGAATCCCCCTGAGTTGGGTGGGACTTAATTGTCATGAGCACTATATCTGCAGGAGGGAGTCAAGCTACTTCTTACTGTATATCTCAGGTGACAATTGCCACTTGATTCAAAAATAGATCTGCCATTCCCATGTATTATGGCTCAGCATAGCTGCAAAATGAGATTAGAATGTGATTTCCTAACACAGTAGGTAACATTTTATTTTAGACACCTGCCAAGCATTGATCAAACAGCCTTAAAATATTTAAGCAGAAGATGTCAATGTATGGCAAGCTCAAAGCAGCACAGAAAATGTTCCTGATACGTGATGCTATGATCCAAGTTGAAGAAGGAGCATCCTGGTGCTGATTTCAGTAACTATCAGGTAACGAGCTCTGTCATGACAAACTGAGAGACAGAAGCAGCAAATCCTGTATATTAGAGATGCAGAAATGTGATCAGATGCTGCTACTGACAAATTCTGACTGTAGATTTGTCTGCTACTCAAAACCCAAGAAAGGAGAATCATAATCGTTTCTAAATGAAATAAAGTATATAGTACTTAAAGAAAAGCTGTATTAAGTTGGATCGGAGAACTGTCTCATCTTAATAATTTTACAATACATTTATATAATTCATTGTTTCATATATCACAATAAGTCTACTGAAAATTTCTGTAAAAAAATCAGCTAGTTCATGTGGTAAAATAACAGATAAAAGAAACTGGGGGGAAACTGTTTTAAGAAAGTATTGTACTAATGATCATGTGTATAATAAATATTTACAACATTTTTGAAGTAGTACTTTTTCTTTTAGTTTTTGAATGCCTCAGGGAGAAAAGAATGATCTGATCTTCCATTCCATTCAAATCCCAAACTGATCAGTCATTTCAGGCTGGACATTTTGCAAAAGTAATGTCTATGTTCATGTGATATGTTTTAACAGGTTAAAAATCGTATAGCACAATTTTGGCCTAAGTTTGTGGCTATTTGAGAGGAGGTGCGCCTTAGTGTAATAATTTCACAATACATTTATATAATTCATTGTTTCATATATCACAATAAGTCTACTGAAAATTTCTGTAAAAAAATCAGCTAGTTCATGTGGTAAAATAACAGATAAAAGAAACGGGGGGGGGAACTGTTTTAAGAAAGTATTGTACTAATGATCATGTGTTTAATAAATATTTACAACATTTTACAATTACTATCTTACAACATAACCCCAATTACTACTTCACAATGAACTGTGCAAACCTTGAAACAGAAAAGCGATTTCAAGCTAACCCATGATCATCTTAACTTTGACCAATCTTGAAATGCTGAGTACAGGCAGGGACTACCAGAACACAGTCATCTACCTCAGCGTTTTTCAACCTTGACTACTTTAAGCTGTCTGGACTTCAATGTACAGAATTTTGGGAATTGTTATCCATACAGGGATGGGATTCAGCCGGTTCAGGCTGGTTCGGGCGAACTGGATGTTAAATTTATATCTGGTTCTCCAAATTGGTAGTTGAACCAACCGGCTGGCCCCACCCACCCTACTCCGCCCCTCCCAGGAGTCTCCACATGGCCCATTTTGGATGCAGGTAAGTGCAGGGTCTGCGTGGAGGCTTTGGGAGGGCGAAAAAGAGCCCTCCCAGAAGTTCCAGAAGTCTGGAAATGGGCCTGTTTTCGGCTTCCGGGGGGGGGGGCTCTGAACCCCAGGGGAGGCTGTTTTTGCCCTCCCAGAGGCCCGAGGGAAGCCTCTGGGCTCTGCGAAAGGTGAAAAATGGCCCTCCCGCAAGTTCCGGTAGGCCACGCCTACCCAACAACTGGGCAGAGAACTGGTTGTTGGGATTTTTGAATCCCATCCCTGAATCCATACAACTTAAAGTTGTAAAGCCATGGTTGAAAAACATTGATCTACTGTTATGTAACAAATAGGATAGTACAAAGATTTTCGGTGCCCAACCATCTGAGTAGCAATATGTTCCCTTACACCACTTCATTCAACGTAAATGCGAAAGAAAGTGAATAAGTACTTTTCATACATGCTCTCTTACACACACTGTAATTACATACATAGGTTGTTGGTTTTTTTTGACTGCTTGACAAAAACTACAAATAGGGTAAACTTAATAGATTTTTGATTAATGGGCTTTGGGTGCAATGGAGAAAACTTTTCATGTTTTTGAGCATATGTAAAATCTGGTTTGCCATTTTGAACACCCATAAAATTCCATTTAACATTTTATTCATGCATAAGCTATACAAAACATATTAAATATACATGCATAAAACCTTATTTGTATTTAACAGACATCCTGATTTAATGAACACTCCCTTTAGCCTCATTTGTCTGTTAAATCAAAAGTTTACTATGATTGCTGTGAGTAACATTTACTCAGCTGCAGAGGTGTGATTCCTTTTTCCATTTAAGAGCCACTACAAAGACTGATAGCCTGTCAGCTTTTTTTTTTCAAGTAGGCATATTTTACAGCAGCTTGAAACATGGTTGGCTACAATGGCAGGATTGAGGGGGTTGAATATAGCAGAATATTTTTGAAACAAGCAGAAGTGAAATTGAAGAATTGTATCCGTCTTCTCCTCCTGTTTATGAGGGAATAGCAATGCTACTAATGGCTTTTCCCCCCTCTAGTGACTGTTTTGAAATGGGAGTTCCCTTAACATATATTCTAAACTGAAATTCTATTGAGAGAAAGTAATAGTTGCCTTCAGCTAAACAGGCAGGGAGTGAAATAAGAAGGAGCTCCTGCCAATGGGGAAATAAGATTGCCCACAAAGGCAGAATTTCAAAGCACTGCAATTCGATTCAAACACAATGGAGGTGAGCCAGCAATAAAGCACACTCAGCTACCACCTACACAATAGGGTCACAAAGGTCTGGACTGTTTTTGGAATGGGTGCAGAATCCTCATGCGGAAATGCTGAGAGAATAATAGTATTTGGCAAAGTTATCTTACTTGTTCTTTCACCGTAAACATCACAGCAAGGCCTACCTTACTTGGACTGCAGAAATGAGCCTTAGATGGTAGCATAGAGAGTTTCCTGTATTTCTTTGCTGCCATCTAGTGGTTATCCCATTTTTTGCAGCCTAGAAAGGGTAGCCAGTGTTTCTCAACCTTGGCAACTTTTAAGAAGTGTGGACTTCAACAATCAGAATTCCATGCTGGATAGAGTTTATTTATTTATTTATTTGATTTGTCAATCACTTACAAGATAATAGGTATAAGTATAAACATGGGTAAGAATACGGGAAATAGGTAGGAATAAATGGACGGTAGGCAGGATTGTGCACTTATGCATGCCCCTTACAGACCTCTTAGGAATGGGGTGAGTTGAAGTCCGACACATCCTACAGTTGCCAAGGTTGAGAAATACTGCCCTAGACACAGTTCTACCAATTTTCCTTCAGAGGTTAAACGTTTGATTTTGTGTCTGAGTAGGAAATGTCTAGGAGAAAGGTGGGATATAATTTCTATTTCTTATACGTACAAATGAATATTACTTAATTAAATCTCATAGATAGATTCAACAGAAGGCAAGGCTCTAGTTTTTCATTTCACTTTCAAGGTTGCACAGTGATAATATATTCACTGGGACTTTTGGTAGGCTTGCTCATTTCTGTGATTCATCTTTTTCCCCAGTTGCAAAATTTGAGAGCCTCATTCAAGTCATTTGTTCAGGGGCATGTGTAGAATTGCCTTAAGCTTTGTTCCTGCCAGAGGGTTAAATCTTTTGATAATACTTCAGTGGCCAAAAGGAAATGTACTCTAGAACCAGAAATAAACCTATTTTCCCCTCTGTTGGACATTTAAGCTAGACCTTGGAGCCTACAAAGCTAAAGTCAAAGATTATTGTAGTAATGAGCTTTTTGCCATGCGGCAATGAAGTCTAATTTGCGTACAATGATTTCAAAGAACTAAACATCTATCACAATTCATGGAGTGCATGAATGTAATTTCTTTCTAAAGGGTTAGGTAGGAGTGAGATGTACTTTACACTCTGAAAACCACTGTGCTGCCTCATTAACTCAACAGTGCCAGCAAAACCTGTAATTCCAAATATTGTCATTTGGGTTTTGTTTTCATAAGCAAAAGTATTTCAAGAGTGGTTTTTTAACTGCGAAATTTACTCGAATATACTATGGGTTCCAAGCATGAAGACAGTCTTGTCTGTCTGAATAAGAACCTGAGGGGAATGGTGATGAGGAACCAGATCTAGCTTCATATGGTCTAGGATAACTTGCCACAACTACTAACTTGCCATGGCCAAGTTGCCACGAGATAACTTGCCATGGGATAACAATTACACTAATATTGAGGAAATGGTAGAATAGAATCATTAAAGATGCAAAAGAAGGGACAAAATGAAATGTGAATGACAAAAATTAAAATAAGTTTTCAATTTTTTCAAATAATTAAATTGAATGGTTGATTGCCACACGGCAAGTTGTTCCACCAGCAAGTTGGCCATAGTGAGTTGTCCTCCGTTGAGTTGGCTATAGTGAGTTGGCAACAGAAGTATTTTGTTGGCATATAAGAAACAAAATACTGGAGTCAGATTGATCTTGGCCTGATCCAGTAGGGCTGTTCTTGGATTTGAATGGTCTTGCCAATATCAATAAATACCAGATTAGAAATGGGTTTGCGTGACACACTGAACCATAAACTGGCTAAACATATGGTAGCCTAATGAACTGTGGAAATTCTGTTTGGATGGTTTGTATGTACTTCAGTGTATTGTGCAAACCCAGGCCAGTTAGTTAACTCATGGTTAAGTAAC